TAAACATTTGGATCTGATGATGGGACAGAATGATCCCAAAAGATACTCTATTGCATTTAAAAGTTAACTCCTTTAATGTATTTCACAGTTATTTCTGTTTCAAGTTTAACCATGGAAACATCTGATTCAGTCTTGTGGTGTAATCTACAGAGTTCAAATGGTCAAATTCATCAGAATCTTCAATAATAATTTCTTTCCATAGAGAAAATAAAATTTTTTTTTTTATATTTATATTTACTAAGAAAAATTATATATCATTTATATACACAATCATTTATTTATCAAAATAATCATTTTGTCAGACAATTACAAATGAATTAATCATAATTATCATTATTTCAGGTTATGTGTATTTAAAGATAATGCTCCATCCTTTTGTATCATTTTAATTGCACTTTATCTCACATTTTGTGTCAACTGCATTAAATAAACAGTATGTGAAAAATAATTGCTTAAATGTTATATAATATAAAAAATTTTAAATTAATAAGTAAATAACTAATACTAAAATAAGTGCAAAAATATTTATTTAATATCTACAAATAAACTTTCAAATCAATTCTTGAATATTTCAATAATTGACAAATGAAAGATGTTTATCTATTTATAAAATATTTTTCATTATTATAATCATAAAATAATTAAAATACAAATTACTACTAGCACAATTAGCTAATTTACATATTTATTTACATAATTATAGATGCAAATAAGTTTTATTCTAAACAGTAAATTATGTATGCAGGAATATTTCATAAAAGTGCTCGCAAGCATTTTATTCTCTTTTTTCTATACTTTAAACATGTCTTTGATATTCATTATTTTGGAGGCTGTCTGTAAATGACATCTACACTTGAAAGAAGGAAGGGGATTGTGCTATGTCGGATAAAGTCAGACAAGGGGAGGGGGTTGAACTTCAGTGGACATCTGTTTTATTTCGTTAAATTTTATACAGTTTATGCATTTTATTATTCATAAAGTGATAAAGGTTTTGAGGGGAATTGAGTTTTGCTGAATGTCCAAAGAGGGAGGGGATTAAAAATCTTGGACAAACTAGGACAATGGGGGGGTAGGAGAGTAAAAATTTTAAGCAAAATGCAGATGTAATTTACAGACAGCCCCTTTATGCAAAATACTTTAAATAATTTATGAAATTTTCAAATTAATTTTTTTTTCAAATCAAACAAATTTTTGCTAATAACTGAATTTACTTAGATTATTCCAGTTAATTACTCAAACATTATATCTATATTAAGTTATAATGTTTGAGTAAATTTATTTAAAAATTATTCAAATATCTTTGACCTTTTTCAAGGTCATCTAGAGAACTAACATAATAAAAAATTAATAAATTCTTTAAAAGTTTGTCTGCTTTTTTTAAGTGTATTCTTTAATTAAATATAGCTGAAAGCTCATGATAAATGATTAAAAGCAAAATTACTTAAATCAAAGTAAAATTAAAATTAGTAGAAAAGTAGAATTTAATATTGATTTTTTTAAAATAAATTCTAAATTATTAAAGAAAGTATTACAAATATTTATATGTTATATACTATTATACCAATCTGACAGTTATATTTGACACCAATTTATTACTGCTATGGGAAAAGAATTGCAAATAGCCTACATGTATTGTAACAATTTTTTGAATGACTAAAACAGGCATGGAACACCAAAAAGGACACACGAAGAATTCTCCATTGCGTTTCATTATTAAGAGAATAGTTCACTGAATACTACATCCTATACAGTAGAGTTACAGTAAATATTTCTCATGTTAAATAGCTAAAGAACAAATTTGTTCATTGTTTTTTGAGTAATTAAAATTCATAATAGTAATATTTTTAATTTTGATATCCAAGATATATTTATACATAAAAATGAACATTATTATAAATGAAATTTGTTATGCTTGAAAAATATTGATGTATGATATATACCAGGAATGTCCAACCTGCGGCCCACTGCACCCTAAATTTTTTAGGTATATTTTCATTTATTTTGACAAAGTATGTTGTAAAACTTATTCTCATTTCACTGGATACACTTTGATTTCATAATGACGTAATTGGTGTTAGAAAACTGTTTTATCTAGAGAACTGTTATGCATATGGGGTAGTACATACTGTTGTGAACAATTCTTTTCGTGCATAAAAACTGTGCTGAAAGGAATAGGTTGCACGACTCCCATTTAACTAATATTTGTAGAATTAAGACTAGTATCATAAAGGCAGATATTGACAATATTATAAAAGGAAGCAATGTCAAAAATTGCATTGAATTTATTTTTATTTTGTGCGAGTATAATTTATTTTTTTACTGTCAATAATACAGTATTTTTTGTAATAATATATATTTGTTATTAAAATTTGATATTCACATTCTGAACATTTTAAAAACATATATTTATATAAAGTACCTTTGTAGCCCACTGAATGTACCTAAATATTTAATTTGGCCCATTAGGAAAAAAGGTTGGACAACCCCGGTATATACCATACATGCATGTTTTTGATATCAAAAACAAATAATATCTAAAAATTATATATACAACAATAAGAGTATTAACCAAAAACTAAAATATATGTAAATGAAATTAATTATATCAATTCATATAAAATTTAATGATCATCAGAAATTGTTATTTAAAAGCAAGTCATTTCAAAATTTAAAAAACTGGAAAATCTACCACAAAAGAAAAAAAAAAATAGATAATTAAATCAAAAACAAAAATGATAAAATGCCTATAATATAGTCTAGAATAAAAATTGCAAAAAACATTGGTAAACATCATTCTTTCTTATAATTTTATATTGATCTTACTTTTGTTTTATATACTTACAAAGAAAATACCAATTTATCATTGGAGGTTTGCCAATGGATACACAAACAGAAAATTGATATAAGCTGAATATTTTTCATAATGCAAATTACAACCACTGTAATAAATGTAAAAGTGAATAAAAAATGTCCTTGCATTTTAAAATTAACACAAAATCAAACTATAAATCACTCAATCTATTCCATTTATTTCTATATTCACAATGACAGGACATGTAATTGTTCTGCAGAAATTAAATATTCAACTAATAGTCAAGAAATATTAATGACAAACATAACTCTATGATTTTATAAAATGTATGACATTCCCCAATGCATCACTGATTCCCAACATTATCAGTTACATTTTAATATAAATTATATGTTTAGATACAAATTGTTTTGAAAATCATATGTATAAAGTAAACATACAAACATTTTTCATAGTTTGTGTTTAGTGATTTCTAAAATAACAAAGAAAACTAATGCTCACCAAAACTTAGAAAATTTAAGGAATATGGAGTGACAGTAAATGCACACAAGCATAGGATTATTATTCTATATTTGTCAATCTTTGCATAACAAGGCCTTTTTGTTTAATCCTTTCATCTCATCTTTAATATATCTTGAATAGGAGTCTGAAATCATTTGAATAATGAAAATAAAGTTTCTATAAATAATGTTTAATGTTTTTGGATGACTTGAATTAATGTTTTTTTGTATACAAACTATTATTCAAGAATTAACATACAGATATCAAAGATCTGTTATTTACTGTAACTTGATATTTGAGGTAGAATATCAATTTCTAATAGAATAACATTAAAACAAGAAACTTTATTAATACTAAGAATTCTTGCCTTACATTTATAACAACATTGATGACCTTTATCAAATTGCTTTGTTTTTATTGTTTATTTCATTTGATTAATATTCACTGGTTGTTTTGTAGTCATAATTTGCATGACTTCTCTTTATGCATCTTTTAATTCTTTTCATTACATATAGTAGAAATAAACTCTAGAAATAAAGCTCTTCCTGTATATATATTATAAATACAAAATTTGATGTCTCTTCAACTTTTTATCAGTTCTAAAATATGAATTTCCAGTCCTTAACTCAATACAGTTTATTGCAAATTATTGTCAATAACACTAATAATGTGTCTTTGTTATGTGTTATGTCACTTTCTCATTTGAATGATATATCAGCCTCACAACATCCCAGTCAGTCATCAGCCAAGTGAATATTACTTTAGCTACCTTAATAATTAAGGTTTCTTCTATTTAAGATTTATTCTAAATTAGGTAATTAATTAAGAATATTAAACAGAAAAAGCTGGAAAATTAAACAACCAATAAACACAAAATTTCCTGTTAACATTACACCATGCCTTTACCATTTAAACACATAGTATATTAAAATAGTACTATTTCTGTATCATTAACAATTTAAATAACTTTTTGTAATTATTTTTTCCTAAAATATATACATAATGTTTTATTCCATACAAAACTGTCAACAGGATAGAAATATGTCTATCATTCATTTGTAAGTAATCTTTACACATTCTAACGCGATTTTCAAACTTACCGATTGCTGTGAATTGTACAACTCAAGCCATTTTTCCAACTAGATAAATTTCTGCATTAACAATCATTTGAATTATTTTAAAATATTAAATGCTAAAAGATTTTAAATTACCGACTAACGGTTCTAAACAAAAATAAAATAAATGCAATATAAAGCTTCAATTTAAACAAAATCAATTCCACCAAATTTCATTTTTTAAATAACTAGATATCCAAACAAACTATAACCTAATACATTCAAATTAATAGATCTAAACTACTCGATTATTAACAGCACTATTATAGTCTTAATAATTTCGTTTAGATATTTGGTTACTTAAACTAGCTCTCTCGTGCAATTCGGCTCGACTTCCCGCTAGAAACACTTTCCGACAACGCATTTTATCCTCGGCTATTTAAACACATTTAACTTAAAACAAGTACAAAGCAAATTCTTTATTCTTATGCGAAACGAATCAAATCTACATGTAAACAACAGTATAAACAACACATCATTCGGGAGGACGGACCGAAAGCGCGTAAGTTTCCGGCGGGAACGAAACCGTTCCTTAAAGAAACCGGCGGCGGAGACCGAACGACCCGGATTACCTGATAGAAATATCAATTTATTTTCTGATTTCGCCTTCTGGAAAGCTTCTTCGCCCCAAGGATACCTTCGGAAACAGACAGAAATCTAAGCATAAACGAAATTAATTAATTAATTTACGAAAACGAATGTATAAAAAAATTATTTACCAATCGACCGGATTTGATGCATGTTGAAGTAAATAAGAAGATTTTTCATAAGATAATCTGTTCTTAAATCTCTTCTGATCTTTCTGGGATGTTGTTGCTAATTCACAAGCCATCATCCACGTGACATTTGCCCTATTTATAAAGAAAAAAAACAACAGTAAAAAATTACGAATAATTATAAATTATTCCATTTCAAATCCGACTTTTTAACACCGAAATTTATTCCCTCGAAAATATATTTATCTTCGAATACTTCGAAAAATGATTATTTATTAATAAGAACGTTAAAAAAATACCTTCGTTCAGTAATAAAATATCTTAAATTATGGACACGAATTATATCGGGTGCTTTAAACGAATTAAATAAACATTTGACTACATTTCTCGCAACTTTCAAATGTTTCGTCTTGGCGATATTCATTTAAAGTTATTCGCCTAGTTGGATTTTATCCCGTTAGATGGCGTATTTTTTTCCCTCGTATTTATTAGAAAATCCGCTAGAGGATGGTCGAGGTGTATACGGATTGTTTCTTGTTTATCGTTTAATGCGTTTTTATGCCGTTAAATAAATATGAAATCGGAAATGGAAGAAGCAAAATCCAAGTTAGACAAGGTGAGAAGATTCTCCGTCGTCTATCGTTCGTAGAAAATGCAATTAAATCGAGCAAAATTAATAGTTCCAATTTTGATAAGTGTAAATGTAATTTATCCCATTAATTAACTTGTATACGTCCAAAAAGAGGATTTAAAAAAAGGAAAAGACACCAAACCTTATTTTTCTACGTTTGAGTTCTGAATGGGATGGTTTTAGACACCTGACTCTTAAATTGTATGTAAAGGGCTTTCCCGGTAAAAATATTTCAAAGTGTGATGATCTTCCAGTAAATAAATTTAAAAGCATGAGGCCCTACGCACTGTGGTATCGGGACTGCACGAGTCCACGTTCTACGTGAACTACGGTGTAACGTGTATAGCTCACTTAACCGATGTGTAAATCTGGCTCCGAGTTATAATTTAAAACACATTTTTGACAGTTTTAGATCTTTAGTTTGCTTTGGTAACTATTGTTTTGATTTTTAAGAATAATGTTCTAATGTAAATGAGGCTTTAAATGTTTTCTGAGCTAGCAACTGTGTCTTCAATATTTTTTCTTATTTTTACAATAAGACAGTTTTTAAACTTGTTAAATTTCCTCCTTGCCGTAATTGTTTACAGTGGGTGATTGGTTAACGAACAGTTTGGACAAGGAATGCCTCACAGAACAAACACAAGAAGCGACACTGCATTTAAGATTTGTAAAACTATATTTTAATGGCATCTATACATTGTTTATAAAATGAGACTTTCACAGTCGTATACATAACCTGTTTTTGTTCTAGTTAATTTCTGTTCTCTGAATTTTTGTAAGTGCTTTTCTGAACTTTTTATTTAAAAAACTGATAATATTATGGGGCGTAAAAAAGAGTAAAGTGTCAAGAACTGTGTTCACTATAGAACTAAGCAAGCTAATAGCTAATAGGTAATAGATAATAGCCAAGGTCTCTCTATACCTTGGCTATTATAGTGGGCAGATGTCTGATATTGTAGGCAGATACTTTCAACAGGTCTACAATAGATAAATCTTAGTTAAGAAAGATATAATCAAAAGATTCGAGCTGATAAAGGAGTAATGAAAATTGCATCTGAGAAACAAAAGTGCCATCCATGATAAAATGGAAAGATTGCTTTCAGTTTGTTATTACGTGTAAATAAACATAGTAAGAAAGTATATAATTTTTATTTTTGTGGGTCTCCAGAACAAATTAATCAAATTCCCACAAAAATCTATGGTAAATCAATAATCGGTTAACGAACAATTTGAATTGTTAATTTTCATGTACCGTGTGTGGTATACTTGCAGAGCCAATTAACCACACAAATTGAGTTGTACTTTGTAAAATACTTCTATTCAACTTAAAGTAAATGTAATATTAAAATGCATATTGGGTATTATATATGTTTTGACTGCATTGGTAATATCGGTGATATTCAGATTGTTGTATATCTGGAATTCTGATTTGTAATGCTGAGTAATAATTTCGAGTAATTTATGAATTTTGATTATTTTATTTTATTTTTCATAAGTTTGGATTATATAATAAATTATTATATCATATAAAGGAAATTAAGATGATTAGTAATTCACCAAGATTCATATAACATACATCTTTCTACATAATATACTATATGCTTATAGTTGTAAAGCTGAATTATTTATTTAATTTAAATTTGTAAAGTTTCAATGAATGCTGTTACATAATAATTTTGAAAGTTGACATATTTTTTGTAGCTTCAAAAAAAGGATCATTTGTGTAGAGTATTGTTATAATAAACAAGTATGTAACTGATTATAATATTCCAATGATTCAAGTCTGATTCTTCAAGTTTATTTATAAATTTAGACTTGATATCTAACTATACTAGTTTATAAATTGTTTGGTTAAATAGCTCTAAATTCAAATATTTTCAGATGCAGAATTTATTCTTTTCAGATAGCATAATTAGTAAGAAATTGATGTCATACATAGTTTATAGAATTTGAATTCTATTTTGGATTTTTATCAAATTGTTTTTCATTTTTTTTATTAATTGTTAAAGTTATATACTTGTCTAAATTAAAAAAATTCTAGAGAAAGTTATTTCGATGACATGATTTTGCACATGAAAACCAAAAATTAAAATTTCCTCCATTTCATTTGTATTCTGAAATTATTTAATTTAAGCTACCAACAGATAATAAAATAAACACAATATATATATATATATATATATATTGTGTATATATATATATATATTTTATTGAAAGGTTTCATATAGTACATATATAATAAAACAATGCTATATAATTACACTTATATTTTGAATTAGAAATTTATAATTTTTAATAATTTGATACATGAGTCTCTCACTTGTCAAATTGATTAACTCCATAAAACAAACAGTATAAAAATTAATAATATGAATTATTTTTAAAAATTTTTTTAAACTTTAAATTTAAATAAACATTGTAGAAAGTATTTTTATATACCATTGTATTAAAGCATTGCTTTAATGTAATGATATATAAAATTAGTTGTACAAAAATGTAAAATAATAACAATTATCTTAAGGATTTGCAAATGGAGTTAATTGATTTGGCATGTGAATGGCTCATATAATTGAGAAAATTTTATATCAGAATTAGTTAGTTTATTTATGGAAACATTATTTACATTTTATTATAGTTTAATGAATTTATATTGATTATAGGAAATATACAACTTGTCTGTATTAAAAGAAGCTGCGCTGAAAAGCAGTCAGTTAACTAAAGGAATGTGCAGTATATTGACATCATTTGACGAACGTTTGATGAAATTAGAGCAGACAATACTTCCGGTCTACCATGAAACAGGGAATTTACAAAGAAGACAAAATAGTATCCTTTAATTATGATTTAATACTAATTTATGAGTTTATAAAATAATTTTAATATAAAAACTGGAAATGCAGGGCTTGTAGTGACTCACTATTCTTGCTTTTACTCACTATTTTTCAGATTGCTCACTATTCACTACTATTTTTATAAAAACCTCACCTTTCTCACTAATTTTGAGATCTGAGTATATGTTGCGTGCTATATGTCATATTTTGGATACAATTATGACGTGTTTACAAGGTTTGTGACAAAATAGATTGGGTAATCATTAATGATGTATACACCTCACAAAAGTTCATCATGGTGCCACCTATTGGTGAGAGAAAGTATAGTGATATGAGCAAAAGAGGAGTTAGAGGGACTAGTGATTTCCTATGAAGTCATCTTGGAGATTCAACAGTCACTTTAGATAAAATATTTGGAAATGAGCCAAGAACATTATCAAACTTGCATCATTTTTACTTTGAATTTTTATTAAAATTTCAAAATATAAAAATACTGCCAAGATAATTCAATGGATAACATATTTTGTATCAAGTGAATCTAAAATGACATAATTTATGCAGATGAATATCTACAATAAATTAATACAGAAATGCAACAACAGTGGCTGATGTTTCAATTTGGAAAAAAATTGACTTGGTCTTTAATGCTGTCATTGAAGAGAATTTTTTGTTATGCAGTTAGTCATGTGTGTCATGATTGTTGGTTGGCACTCCAAGTTTCAAATATTGGAAGCATAGCGTTTACACCAAACTTTATTAGCTGTGGCATAAGTCAGAGAATGGGAAAGAAGTACTAGTCACATAGTCACATCTTATTTTGAGAAAAGAAATAAAACTGACAATTAATAAAGATTACACTAGTATAAACTAGTGATGGGACAGTTAATCAGAATCAAGCAAATGTTGTCACAAGTTTTGATTCCTAAAATGATTCTTCCACATTTTATAAGAAAATTATTTGTTTTGGTTGAAGATTAAACATTTTTTAAATTATGATATTAACAATTAAGTATTCGTTTATTGGAAACTTTCATATTGACAAATCAGAGTATGCAATGGTGACTTTTCTTTCATGAAGTCAGAGCGATCAGAGATTTCACTTGGTTAGTACTAACTGTCCCCATTTTAAGGGAGTTAGGGTGACATTAGTGTTGCCATTCGGCCAACTTGACTGTGTATATATTGAAAGCAAAATGTTCTGTTATTGCTGCACACAAATAATGTAAATTTAAAAAAGTAATTTCATTTACAATTTGAAAATTTCAAAACAACTTTTAAACGTTTTTAATTTTTAATTGATTTCATTTTAATTAATTCTGATTTTATTTTTAATTTTAGTTTTGATTTCAGTATAAAGGGCAGAGTTTTAATTATTATTGTTAGTTTACTTTATTTAGTATTAATTTTGTTTTAGCTTTTATAATTATTTTTAATAATTTATATTTACTTTTGCCTGCATTTTTGAATCCTTAATTACAATTTTTAATTAATTGCAACTCTTTTCTTTTGCAACATAACTATAGAAATTGTTCTAGTGTTGTTTCACACAAAAGATGATCAAATTTTAATATTTTTTTTTATTACTTTTGTTAATTTTTGTTTTATAAATTTGCCTGCTTTTTAAAAATTTTAATTATAAGCAAATTAACATTGATTGAACTATCAAAGTACATAGTTTCAAATCCATGCCAGCAGTCAGCTAAAACAATATTATATAATTCTGTTTATATTTTAAACTTTTCCAATTGAAATATAAAATTATTTTTAATATTCAGTAAGTTTACTTATAATGATAAAACTACTTTCTGATTATAATTATGAAAGTTTTTGTTAGGATTCACAGAAGATGCTTGAATGTTATGCATTGAATTTTCAAATGTAATTAATGCGATTCTAAGTAAAATAATGTGCCATTTTGAGTTCTAAAATTGAATTTTCAAGATGAATTGGTCTAGACATTCATGGGTCAAGTGAATGATTTCAAAAATTGGTTAACTTGTGATGATGATATTTGTTCAGCTCATTGTGTCATTTGTCAAACCTCATTTAGTGTTGAATACAATAGAATTAAAGCATTTATGAGGCATGCTGATTGCAAGATGCATGGGAAAAAGTGCATCATTTCATTAACCTTCTTGAGGTCATCACTTCTGCTAACGAAGCAGTTTCCAAAGATGGCGGCCATAAATGACGTAATGGGATAATTCTTTGAGTAAAAGAGAATTAGCTGTAATTTCTTTGCGAGTATTGTTGTAATATTAACTTATTCTGATTAATCTAAAGAAAATTTTCTGATTATCTAAAGAAAAATGGCGCCGTCCATTACAGTAATTTTAAATACATAGCAGCTTTTATTTCTTTGCAGCATAAAATTTATTTTGTATAAAATGTTGTTAATAACTTAATTCATCTCGCTAGATGTAAGTTTTAATAGATGGAGAAAACATTAGAATCATTACAAAGAGTTTTAACGAGTGGAAGTAGTCATCGAAGGTTTCTCCTTCCTATGATCGGTAATAGGAAGAGATTTGGAGATTTCGTTGAGCGACTGAGAATTGCTTCTTCGAAACATGAAGAAGATGAATTAATAAAAAATAAATTGCTTTTTCTTCAAAATCAACTTACTCAACCTAATATTACTTTGGATGATGTTGAAGAGTGCTTATTATATGCCATGTATTGTGAAACTCTTGGCTATGATTGTTCTTTTACTTACATCCATTCTTTAAAGTTAGCTCAACAAGGAAATCTTCATCAGAAAATGATAGGTTATGTTGCAGCCAGTATTTTTTGAAACAAAGATCATGAATTAGTCATTCTTCTAATAAATACAATACAAAAGGATTTGAAAAGCTCAAATATTGCAGAAATATGTATGGCTCTTATAACTGTTTGCCATCTAATCAATCATGAAATGGTTCCTACAGTACAAAATTTAATAGAAGAAAAACTGAATCATTCACACCCTTTAGTAAGAAAGTTTGCCGTATTAGCCTTTCAACATTGTTTGAATCAGTTACAGAATTGGCATATTAGTTCAGCAGCAGTGCCTAAACTAGAAAAAGCATTGTCAGATGGAGATTTAAGTGTAGTAACTTCTGCAATTTCAACATTAAAGCAGTTAACCAAGGTGTAGATATGGAGGCAGGGGAATCTT